CAAAACCCCAAAACCCCAAAACCCCAAAACCCCAAAACCCCAAAACCCCATCACATACTATCTTATTCAATACATGTAGAAATATACTGCTTTAATTAAGATAAAAATATAATCTGAACATTCACAATGATAGAGTCTTGCTAGCAATATCTCTATATTATTTTCCTAGGCAATAAATATCTTGATATTAAGCTCAAGCTTCTTTATCTCATTCATCAGGAAACTTTTCTTCATATTTACCAAACTCTATCAAAGCTGCTTTTTAAGCTTCGTTTAATATCTTAGGTAATATTACTTTTATATTAACAACCTAATTTCCTTTTTAATTCTAATTTGGGGGTAACTTATTAACTCCCATGTTAGGAATAGTAATTTGCTAATCATTTTAGATGCCAACAGGGATAGTTATATCAGCTGTACCATAAAGTGTTTTAACTTAAAATTTCCCTCCCAGTAATGCTTGAGATAAATTTAGCTTTTTAGTTATATGAATATCAAAGCCTTGCCTAGAAAAATAGGGATGAGGTTTAACATTTATCTTGATTAAAAGGTCTCCAGGATCCCCTCTCAGTGAGAAATTACCCTTTTTACTTAGCCTTAGGTTCATTCCTGAGTCAACTCCTTTTGGAATGGTAATGCTCTCTTTTACTTAGTTATATTAGCTACCTGTACCATTGCAACTCAAGCAATTTTAAAATGTAGAACCCTAGCCAAAACAAGCAGTACATGCCTACTAGATAACAACATTACCTTTCTTGATTGTTTAATAACCTTAGCCTTAGCATGCCATACAATTTTACTTAGTGGTACCTTGTTTTATCTTGGTTCCATCACAGCTTGAGCATTTATTAGTCCTCTAATACTGAATCTATTTTTGACAACCATTGATTGCATCCAAAAATTCTATTTCAATATTAGCATAGACATCTTTTCCTTTGAGAGATCCAGAGGATGTTTAACTGCTAGTATTTTTATTTTTCATCGAGAAGAAATTCTCGAATTCATTAAACATGTCTTAAAAGTTTTACTCTGGAGAAGCTGCGTTTTCAGACTTCTTACTTCCCCAAAATGCACTGCTAAATGGGTTGAATCCAAATCCACCAGAGAAATCATCACCTGCCTATCTTTGATCATTGCTGTCCATACCTGTTGAGTCGTATACACGTCTTCTCTCCTCATCTCCTAGAGTCTCGTATGCTCTATATTATGAAAGTTAAGTCATAGTATTGATAGAAAAAATCTTACTCATTAATTTGAGCAAATTTTTCCTTGGCCTCTGGCGTCTTATTGATATCAGGATGAAATTGCTTAGCAAGCTTGAAATACTACTTTTTAATATCATCTTTCGATGAATTTCTAGATACACCCAATACACCTGCAATTATGATTAAGTGTAATGAGGATATTATTACTGTAGAGGTCTTTTGCATTAAGGACATTTGATGCTCTAAATTATCTTGATTGCTGCATAATCAGTTTATATTATTGACTTTATTGCCTAATTTTTTGTTATCTCATGGTAAAGAAGTTTCTTTGAGCAATCATGCTAGTTAAAGCTTAAGCATTTCTGAGAATATGAGTTTAATGTCCAAAGAGCATAGACTAGGCTAGAGCGCATTGCCTAAAATGCTGAGAGTATTTCATCATTACGTAGTATTCCTAAAACTATTATAAATATAATAATTTAAAAGCCTTAAAATGATTATTAAGAGAAGCTTAACAATAGTTGACAATTAACTTAATTAAAGTTGATCAAGTTTCTTTAAAATTAATTTCTCATTAATAATTAATTAAAAACAGCAGATTTGTAAAATAGATAACAGCAATTCTTATAAATTTTAATGGCAAGAAGAGTTTAAACTGAACAAGTATTTGATGAACGTTATGGTCATCAGGGAGAGGATGATGCTCCTCCATATAATTTAGATGATTTATCAGACGATGATGCGGAGCCCTTATATGGAGAAGAAGACGACTACGGGTAAGAATAAGAAAAAAAGGATAATAATCGTAGGAATAATAAGGATGAGGGCGCTGGAGCTGGTGGTGCTGGCGGTGGAGATGATCTTATTAACTATAAGGGTATTTACTTCAATGATGATCAAGGGTAAAAATATACTGATCCTGACAATGGAGCGCATTTCGAATTTAGAGATATGTGCAAAAGAATAGCAAGAATATAATAAAAGCGTATGGAAATAGATAAATCAGAAACTGGGAATGCTACCCAACAAATAGAAAATATAAGATTATCAATGGATCCTCAATAGCAATAAAAACTTGCTCTATAGAAGGAAAAAGAAGAATTCTTAAAGAGTCTTGGAATGTCGAAGCAATAAAAAGATTCACAAAATGCAGCACAGTTAAAGCAATAGTAACAATTGATCATACAAAAACAGCAACAGTAAATACAACAAGAATAAAAAGCTTTGATGGAATAGATATAGAAACAGAAAATAATACAGTAGTAGCAGGAAGAACTTATGATGCAGCAATAATACTAGTAAATGTAGTAATAGATAGCTTAGGACAAGGCAAACAAGTAATAATAAGCTCTACAGTAACATTCAATTACTTAATAGCAGTAATAGAACTTAGCAATGATACAACAGTAAATGCAATCTTCATCTAAATGGCGCAGTAAATCTAATGAAAAGCAAAACTTCATGCTAAGTAATACATAGAAAATAGTAAATAAAGCCAAAGTGCTTGAACTTAATTAATAAACCTCCAAACACCCTAATCAGATAAACAAATTTGGAACAAAGATGCAAACTGATAACTAGAATGCTCTATAACTGTTGTAAAGAGGTAAGACTCCAGAAAATTTGAACAAACTTAAAGTGCAAGCGCTTGAATAGAACCTGAATCAAGCTTAATAAAATATATAAAAGATGAAAGCCTAACTTGGGTATAACGACTCTTAAATCTCAACTAGTTCAAATATGCCTTAGTAGTAGCAGCAATAGTAGCAGCAATAAACAAACAAAACGTAAAATTTCAGTGAATTAGCCTAATTACTATTAATAGTTCATCATAGAGGTCGACTCGTGATAAGATATCATAGATTAAGACAACCAGCAAAATTGGTGTGTATAATGTAGGATCTGGACCGACTTCTTCTAATTCAAGAAATGGGGCTTAAACAAGTAACACTTTCTAGTAAATGTATATATTATCGTTAATATTCAATAGTAAATCAAATAAATCGTAAACAATGAAAAAACAAGGTATTGCATCAATTTCTAAGCATTTAGCTCCTGAAATCGATAGTTTAATGTTAAAATTCAACAATAGTATAGCAGTTTAACAGCAAACTTCGAGCTATGGGCCTACATCCTCAACTCTTTATCAAGCTTAAAAATCTAGAAACATAAATCCTGTAGGTAATTCATTCAAAACTGCATCGATTGGCTCTACTAAAGCTGGTGGCTCAGCAAATCAGCACATAAGCAAAACCTTAATGAGTAATGGAGTAGGATATGAAGCTAAAAGTAGACTTAGCACAAACAATAACCCAAATAATGGTATACCAATGATCGTTACTGCTGACCCATTAGCATCGACTAATTTACATGGGAAAAAGAGTTCTAATTCAGGAAAATTTAATCAGACAGTTGCAGGTTCCAATCAAAGCAATCTCTATTCAATGATCTATTAAAACCGCTAGAAAAACCTAGTCAGCAGTTATCTGAATGGCTTAAATGTGAACTCCTAATAACTAAGAAGCAGTAATGCTCAAATTAGCACTAAGGTTCAGCCATCTTCCAGAAATAAAAACTTAATGGCACCGCTTGGAACTAAAAATAAAACTAGAAATAATGTTATGGGAGGAGGTACATTAGAGATAAATAACAACAACAACAATAATAACAATAACCATAACAATCACATCAACTAGGAAGGATAATAGCAAATAAATAAGTCATCACTCGTTGGAGGAAACTACAAATTCTGAAAGGTATGAAAGGATAATTTTTAAAGATCTTCATCATCCTTATCATGAATGAACAGAACAATAAAATAAAGTCAGATACATATATAAAATATCTTTACATTTTTCTAAAAATTTTCCAGTTGGTAATTTGCTATGATTTCTAACAAGCGGGGTTTTGGGGTTTTGGGG